TGAGAGAGCCATTATCTCCCAGATGATGTGTTCCTGTGAGTTAAAAGCCTGCCGTGCTGATGTATGTGGTTTCTTTTTCTGTGCCTCTCTGTTTTCTATCACGGCCTCTGTGAATCAGTGTGATTTGGATCAGCGGCAGGCAGAGGTGGTTGCAGGTTTTCAATCTTTAAATTAAGATTCTCATGCAAAACACTGTCTGTCTCACACGCATAATTAAAACTTTTCTTTTCTTTCTGTTTGTAGCAAAATATGTATGCTGCAGCACTGATGAGCATTAAATTAGTGAAATGAAATCATCACTGTGTCAAAAAAGCTACTAATAATCTTAGCTTGACCAAACCTGGCGTAAATAGTTTTTTGTTTTAGATTTACATTCAGTTGTCATCATTCTCAATATGACTTTTTTGATCTTTAATTATAAAGACATTAGATTAATAATATTTGTTTTGCTAATTTCTCATCTTCATTCTTCCCATGAATAACAAATGTATCTTTATACTGGGATGAAACAGGTATTTGTGATACAAAAATGTATTTAAAATAATTATAAAAAGAATTGCCTTGGTTTACGCACTGATTGTTGCTCTGATGCCACAAGTTGTGCACTAATGGGCATGTTTCAGTGGTGTAGTGGTTACAACCAATGTATGGAGGCCTTAGGGGCTGGTTATACTCCCGCTGCAGTGTGTCGCAGTGAGCTTATAGTAGATATTTTTGATTTATGCCCGATTTTGAAGATGCATACTTCAAAATTTGGTATAAATTTTGAAGTATGCGTGGAATAACATAGCGCAGTTATTCCACAACGCAAGAGGGACAATCACAAACTAGCTGTGGGTCTAGATATGGCCGAGGCGGTGAGGAAGTGGGGACAAGATTGTGCGACAATGGAGGGGCATGAGGCCGAATAAGAGCAGGGATCCAGTTGGAAAAAGGGTCCCAGCGTTCTCGCGTACTTCGCTCTTCTAGGTGCATTAACTGCAATACACAAGATGACCTGTCCTCGACGCAGCCAGCCCAGCTTCGATTTTGACCTGTGGTCCTTTGCCGCATGTCTCTCCCCTCTCTCATACCCCTTTCCTGTCACCCTACTATTGAAAAAACAAGCAACTGCTGTAAGCGAAAAAAAAACCCACAAAAAAAGTCTTATCAAAGAAGCAGGCGATAGCCTTTCAGTAGCTCTGGAGGAGCAGCAGAGATCCTCAGCTCAGGTTGGAGAATCTGCTCCCATGCTGCTCACATGGCAATTATTAGCTATTTACTGTAGTCTCTATGGAAGACTGGCAAGAAGAAATAAAGCAGCAACAGGACCATCAAGTGTTTGTCATGTTTGCCATTTGCCTCAATTAGCCATGTAGTGACACAATATGTCGGCAACATCATGATGCAGAGCTGCTTTTCTTCAGTAAAATCAAAGAGAGGAAAGACTAGATGGAGGTACCTGTTAGAGTTTACAGAGAACTTAACAACAGGGCAGGTGTTCTGGTGTTTTGATCACTGCTGCACTTTAAGAGATGGAAATGTCATGAGAGCAGTACAAAACAAAACAATAAAAGTTGCCTAAGTCTAAGTGTTTCCCTTCCAGCAGGATAATGGTCCTCAGGTAACTTTTATGTATTTTTGTTTATTTACTCTCTTACTATGGGAGGGCTATTAAGAACGCGCCACACAAGATTCAACAAACGTACTTAACTTCTATAACATAAACCTAATATATCTTTGTAAACCTGATACATTTCACTTGTGTGTACCTGAGCGCTCATTCTCAAGTAATATAAATCTGCATAATTACCTCCCCGATGATGCCATATAAGGCTACATATAGGTGGGAGAGCTATGACTTTCCTCGCATGTCAAAAGGGGTTCATTCACAGAAATGGGCTTTATTTTAATAGTAGCTTGATCTCTGACTGTTCCTTCTTTTGACAAAATAACAACAAATGAAACCAGAGTCCCCCGGATACCAACATGCAAGCTACCGTCTACTGTCAGCCAATGAAAATGTAATTTATAATTACAGATTAGTCTAATACATAACAATGTACCCTAATAAAATGCGCATTTGTTTCTAACAACCACCTCCTTTTGGGAAATTCTCGCCTATTTTACATACCCAAATGAAAAAGCAAATAACTTAGGAACTGTAAGCCCAAATTACATTATTTGAAAGCTAACACCCTCTAGTTTCTGAATATATATGCTCGCTGTGTCTATAAAAGAAACTTTGTGGTTGAATTGTGGAGAATCTTAGCTTTCCAACGATGTCTAACATGTCTATATTGGTAAACATTTCACTGGTGGAATTTTCATGCATTCTGAGTTATTCTCAAAACTCAAACCTCTTTGAGAGGCTAAGTAACGAGATGTAGTCATTTAGTGAAATACTGCGTTTGGATAACAACTAACTGATTGAGCAAGACTCCTAAGTCAAGTCTGGAGCAATCGTAAAATTTGTTCGTACCTGAGAGATCATTAGAAAAAGGAGACAAGTGGCGATTGCAACATTTTATCCAACATCGAACAATTTAAGATCAAATTTGTTTACAGGGACGGTTCTTGCATGAGGTCCAATGATCCGAAACATGCAGCCATAAATGCCATCAGGTGGTATCCATTAAAACATACTTTTTAGTGGTACAGTAAAGTTCCCAATCAGATTACAATGAAGGATCTGTGACAACAGATGGGGATTTTTGAATCTGCAAAAGCTGGTAGAGACACACAGCTGGAGGTAACAAGGACAATGCTATTTTAGTAATAATTACATTAACAATATTTGGTCCAGTATAACAAACACAGAACCAGTTTAGAGCACTTTTGCAGGCATTTTTCACCAAGCACAATAATATGGAGCTGCTGTTCAGGTGAACAAGCACGGCAGATGCCATTCATTACCTCTGCGGTGGGAATTCACAGGTGGATGTTTTAATTCCAGCCATTTTTTTTGTTCTCACCAATGCTACGTATTTTTTTTTTTTTGTGATGAGCTAATTATTCCACATGATGATGTTGGTGCATGCAATGAACATTCAAAGTTCCCACTGTGAAAGGTTGATAATTCAAAGGCGTTGGAAAGCCATGCATGAAGCGTTCCCTATGAATATAGGCCAATGGCTGTCTGGATCTTAACTTAATGGGAAATTTATGGGATCTGCTGGGAAGCAGGTTTTTCCACACAAATCCGCTCCAGCACCCCCGTGGGGTGTTCTCTCTCACTCTTCTCTCTCTCTCTTCACAACTGATTGCTCCTTAGTTCTCTTGTCAGCAAAACCTCTGATGTTTACTGATGACCCCACTGTCATTGATCTGATCCGGGACAATGATTAGTCTGCATACAGACATACTGTAATGTGGATTAGCTTGTCCAGTGGTGCAGTCAGAATCAACTTGAGCTTCCTGCTCAAGTGGGTGGAGGCTATGATGGACTTTTAGGGAGCTCCCTCATCCAGAAAACAAGACAGGAACTGTTGGGAGATTCATCAGAGCTCCCTTCCATCTGTCCAGGTCTTGTGCAGGTCTAGGTTTAGGAAAAAGGGCAGCTTACATCTCTTCTGACTATTTGCTACTAATAGCTGCCAAGGAGAAAGCTTCTTCCCTCACATCTGTACAGTATTGATGAAGAACACAGAGAACCTCACAACCTGAGCACTCAGCTTCTTTGCATTAAAACTAAAACAGCAGATTTCTTTACATGAACAAGCTCACAACACCTTTTTCCTTTATTTACCCTGCACTTTATTTTATCCTTTCATTCTTTTATATTTTTATCTGATTTTAATTACTTTGATTGTGTGGATGTTACTTTTACCAATGTTTGAACTGTTTGTCTTTTATCTGTGATGTTGTTTTTTTTCTAGTAGTTTTAAAAGTGCTTGATAAATAAAATTAGATCCAATTCTGTATATATCATAAAAGCATGCTCAAATATTCTATTCTCAATATACATAGAGCTGTTTTTGTACCTTTATCTAATGACTCTGCGATGAGCTCTGTAACCAAAATCATATTCAAACATTTTGTACAAATGATTATGGCTGAATTGGATTTGGATTAAAACATTTTAAAAAATGCATGAGCATGTTAGTTATCCAAGGCCTTCAGCCCCAGGCAGTCAAAAAGCCTGAATAGGTTTAACAATTAGCTTTTTAGGTTGTTTTTGTCAACTGTAAGCAGAGTTTGTTCTCTGTAAGATATTTGTTTACCTGGCGATTCTAACAGCATTAGTTTAGATTAATAAAATCTTGAAATATATATATATATATATATATATATATATATATATATATATATATATATATATATATATATATATATATATATATATATATATATATATATGATTCTACATACATTTCCAGAGGTTGTTTTTTTTGCTTTGTATTGGTATGAAGCAGGTTGTCTGCTTGCTGTTAGCGTTTCTCACACTATATTAGAGGCTTGATTCTCCGACAAGCAGGATTTTTACATCAGCTATTTTTATTTAGACAGCAGGGTGACACAGCAAGGTAAAGGTCTGGATTCAAACTTCCATGACAGCATTTTTTATTTTTCTCTAACTGGAATAGCCTTGAGCGACAATGAATCATCCGCCATCTCTCGGTGCTCTCTACATCCAGCCCCGCTCTTTGTTTCACAGGCACTGGGATCGATATGGCATTATAAAAATAACCCTGATAGTAAAGTTTCAGTTCACAGATCAGAAAAAAACTTTTTGTTGTTTCTTATTTCTGGTCCGTAGAGCTGACGACAGCTTGGTGTTGAAGCTTTTCATGCTGCTGATTTGTAGCATGAAAAGCTCCCAGGACTCAAAAAAGTGAAAGGGTGCAAGAAAAAAGAGAGAAAATACAAAATAAAAATATAACATTCCCTCAGGACTAAAACTGGTGACAGGCTGCATGAGTAAGGTTTTCTCTGCAACAGTGACTGACAGACAAACATCTATTGAATATAAGTCTCACTTATAATTAAATCCATCTGATTCTGACCCTTTTGTTTTTCAGCCTCAGGATTCTCCTCATCTGGTGTCTCTACCGATGACTTGGGTCAAGGAAGGGGGGATGGTGCGGCTCGATAAGAAGTATCTGCAGACAAACTTTAAAGGAGTTGGCACTGACGACATCGTCTACAACATCCTCTCCTCAGAAGGACAACCAAAATATGGTAATTGTGTGTCCTTACACACAAATGTGTTCAGTAGAAATACGTGTTAGTGCCTGGAATAAAAGAAGATTTAAAGTGTTAAACTAATAAGGAAAGCATTTTATCAGTTTACTGTGAATGCATTTTTTTAAACCCATAGGATATTAAAAAAAATTTATGTAAAGGATTTTCATGATGCACTTTTTAGAGTCTTTATTTTCTGTGACTAGTTTAATCTTTAAATGTTAAATGTCATAGATGATCACCTCTGTTCTCTGTCCAGGGGAAGTGGTGCTCTTGTCCATGCCAGCTGACAGCCCACCTGAAGGATGGGACCCCTCCCATATCGACAATCAGCGCTATACACCGACCGCTTCTTTCACCCAGGAGGATGTGAACGATGGCACAGTCTGGTACCGCCACTTTGGATCGAGCTACGACACAGACTCTTTCTCGTTCCAGGTCAGTGCTTGTTTTGCTTCACTTACCTCAGAGGTCCGAGCATGGATCTAGGAGGGACGCCATGATATGTTCTAGCGACAAAGTAGAAAATCAAATTCTTTGCTGGTTGTTTTGCTGACAGACCAGGCTACTTATCATTTAAGCCACTGAATTTCTCATGTTTAAGCACAGCATCTTCATCTTCACTAACTGGGTGGTTCTCTATTGTGTCATTTAGTGAGATAAATACTCCTAAAAGTGAATAGTTTATTCCTGTTATTATTTGTCACATGACTTCCTATATCCAGGTGGTTTTAAAAATTCTAAATTTCCCAATTTACAGGAGGGTGTTTGTAACTTTATAACATTTGCCAGTTTTCAGCCTTGCTGTTATTACTTTTCTTAATTTTCAGCCTTGCTGTTATTACTTTTCTCCTCCTTCTAGGACAGAACCAAGGCAGACTCACACTGGCTACATTTAATCTGTCCCAAATTCTGCCTAGCGACAAAGTTAAACGCTTCTTATTTTCAACATCATCATATGAAATTGTTTATCCAAGGTTAGATTCATTACCTCCTCGCTATTCATATTTCACACAGCCAATGGAAACAGAAATGTAATTCAGTTCAGCTGCAGGTGACCAGGAGATCAGGATTTTACCATGGTATTTGTTGGTCCTCATGGGAAATTCAAGCCTCCTGAACTAGCCCCAGCCGCCAGCGGCCAAAATAATTTTTGCCTGCGAGTTTGGTCTAGCCTCGTTCAATGCCCCAGGCCCTAGAACTGGCGGGCCAATCACAATGCAGAGATGTGTTTTGAGTTTCTAGATGCAAAGCGGGCGGGGTTTTGAGGGCGTGACGACAAAGCTGCGCGACGCTGGAGAAAGTACAACAAGGAAGCACTGCGGCAGCAGCAGCAGCAGCTTTCAATGGAGCGCTCCTTTGAAAGTTAAAAGTTCTCTTTTCTGTTGCTGTGTTCAATAAAAGTATGTTTTAAGATCATTTGAGGTGAGAATATTATACTTTAAAGCATCACTATATGGTCGATTTACCGATTTAATGCGTAATTTAAAAAACTATTTCCGAAGTTGAGAGGACCGTGGTAACCAGCGGAGCTCTGAGGCTAATGGCAGCCAGGGCTTTTTTCACATATCTGCGTTGGTCCCACGCGTAAACTGGGCTGGTTTTAAAAAAACAAATATTAGTTTCTATGTTATTACTGTTTGTGTATACAGAAGAGGGGCTTGGTCATGCTGTTGCATCTTTTTACAGTAATTGAGGCTTGAAAAGATATAGTTAATATTATGAAATATTGATTATCCACCTCAGCAGATACATTAATATTAGATATCAACATTTTTAGAACTAGTGATTTTTTCCCCTCTATGTGCTTTGCCCAGAAAAAAAAAATATATATACATATATATATATATATATATATATATATATATATATATATATATATATATATATATATATATATATATATATATATATATATATATATATATATATATCAAATAAATAAATAAAACGTAAACATGCAAACAAGAGATAAAAATGTTTGACAGAAATGTGAAGGAGCTAAAAAAAAAAAAAAGGTTAACTGATGCAGTTTCCTGATGATCCGGCAGTTTGTCAAAACAATGAGGATGTCAGCAGACCTGCAGGATGTCTTAGCAGACAGCTATAGCCGCACATGATGGGAGTCATATGAGACTTTTTGCTGGGTTTGCATGTGGCTGGATGCATGTGTTTTCCAATTGTACATAAAGGAGGCTTGTTCTCGAACCAGTTAGTACATCATGTGTGTAAGCCAATCAGTCTGTCTTAAACGTCCACTTAAAGGTGCTGTTCTGGCAGCATGTATAGATTAGTAATGTATTAATACATAATGTGCATTAGGGGTACCTTATCTGAGTGATGTTAATGACATGTTTATATTTGTGGAACCTAAGCATAGAGTCTGACTAAGGTGAAATACACTCTTTTAATATCATAAATAAATAAAAAAAACACACACAATGTAGGTGATCATTAGCCATTATGATAAAGAAATGGTTCAGCAACAGAGGAACAGGCAACATGGAGAGAATAGAGCCGTCAATCAGAAGGGACAACAAAACAGGTGTAAAGCATTCTGGGTGGAGTGAGGAAAGACATGCATACCTACATATTTTTATAGACACATACACTCTCTTTATATGTATATTTATATAAATATATATTTATTTTGCTTTGGCTATTTGGATTGTTCCACTTTAGCCTCCAAAAGGTGGGGTTAAAAGTTGCAATTTCATTAATGGCTTAAGTTTGCAGTGTTTGGTAGTGTATAGAATACAATACAATACAATACAATACAGCAAAATAGAATGGAATAGAATAGAATAGCATTGCGTAGAATAGAATAGAATAGAATAGAATAGAATAGAATAGAATAGAATAGACTTTATTGTCCCCTAGGGGAAATGTGTCATGGACCCAAGTGTGCAGTGCATAGTAGTAGCTGCTATTAGAAACAATTAATACACATAAAATAAAATCCCAACTAAAAACACATGCATAGGCTAAATTCAGACTCATAAGAATAAAACATAAATACAAAAAATAAACATCCAACAAGCAGAATACCAAGATATTACACACCAGTGTAAAACCCAACACATTAACATTTTATTATATAGCCTTTATATATCAATGTTTATCTTCATCATTGCTTATGTTGCTTATATTCTTCTGTTACAATGCAAACCAAATGTCTAGAATCCCTTTTTAAGTTTGCCAACAGAAGGCGATTGAAAATATAAGCTGAAAGTAAAACATTCTGTGCAAAACAAAAAAAATCTAAAGAGGGAACTGTGACAAAGACTCCTGCTGTTGTTTATTTTGACTTTATGCCCTTTGTGGTGTTTTCAGGAGTTCAAACAAAGTTTACCTCCATGCTCTCTCTCCTGCAGGGCCTGACCTTTTACATCTCTCTGTCTTGCTTCTGTATCTTACAATAAATCTATTTTCACCTTTAACTCCTTCCTCTGTCTTTGCTTTTCCACAAACTCTGTGGAAACATGTTGTTGACACAAAACTGCCCTTAATTTTAGAAAGTTTAGTCTTAGACCGCAATCACAAAGTCAGTGTTAAAATAAAGATAAGTGGAAACGTCGATTTTCTAAAGCTTCAGGCAGATAAGAGAAACCAAACATGTGAGATTTGAAATCAGTATTCGGCTCAGTGAGGCTAAAGAGTGCAGAGTGTGAATGTGTGTATGGATTTAGTTTTGGTCTACATTTTGACAATCACATTAAGTCTGTAACTAAAAAGCCTAAAAACACCCAACATTTAAGTTGTTCTCATAGATCCAGGATGGAGAAAAACAATGATAAGCCTTTATTACTAGTAGAAGTCATAACTGCAAGAGGGCCATTATAAGTCTTTTTTAAATAATCAGGCAGCTTCAACTCATCCATAATGCAGCTGCCAGAATCCAAGTGAATGGATCAGATTATAAATCACTGCATTCACTTTCTGCTTACCAACGAACAGATTTCATAATTCTTTTGTTGGTCAATAGACAAATTTCACAGGCTTTTTCAGGTGATTTCAATCAAGGTAATTCTGCTTCTCTTTTCTTAAATGTTGAGAAGGGTCAGGTTATATTAAAATTGGATGGCAGTGACTCTAAAATGGGGACGTTCTCATATATTTTCCATAAAGTATCGATCCTGCTGTGGCTTTGAACTGGGAGGATAATATGATGAAATGGCCTAACCTTATAAAATATTTTGGTACTTTGACTGGAACACCATAAACACACTGAAAAGCTTGGATTCTTCACAATACTAAGAAAATAACAAATTCATTGCTCTGATACACAATCAAGAATCACTTTTCTTAATATAAACAGTAAAGCTAATGTTAGTTTAGCTTATGCAAAATTCCGAATTAAACAGTAGTTATCATTTTAGAGCATATGCCTACTCAACACATTCACAGCTGTGTTAAAGTTATTTTATGATGTCTTCATTTTACCTATTTTAACTCTTTAAGGCAACATCGATTAGACTTCATTGCTAATTCACGGCTAATGTTACTTGCCTTTTATAACTATTCAGCCCAATAACGAGTTGCTATCTTCAGCCACAACTTTGACTGCAAACCATGACATCTCCAACTCTTCCTTCCAAACACCACTGAGTGATCTCTGCTAAAACACTCCCAGAAGTTCTCAGCTAAGGTGACCAGATTTCTGAAATCAAATCTGGGGACATTTCCAGCTCATAGATGAAAAAAAAGTAAATTTCATCAAGATGAAATTAGAAAACAGGGAAAGTAATGGTTTCATAAATTTTTACAAGCGTATTAATGTTAAAACAACAAAAATCAAGTGTAAGAGCCAGGAACATGTCTCTTAACACTGGTAGTATTTTCTCAAGATTAATAAAATGAATAAATCTATAGTGTTTTTTTTTAATAGAAAACTAGAAATGTCTCTGGGTCGGGATTGAGAGTGAAGGGGTCAAAGGTGGTTAGCAGGGCTTTCTGATTTTTGGGGCCTAAAGAGCTCCGCCTCCCCCTTAGGAGAGAGTGACATGAGGAATAGAGAAACCAAAAAAGTAAATGCAAACTTCTGATCCATTCATTCTTCTCCGTCTTCTTCCCTCTCTACATTATTTTCTTTCTAGCCCTCTTCTGACTTCTGGCTACTCTCTGTTTTGCTATTCTATATAGATTTTCTTCCTTCTCTTCAACTGTTCTCATCAGTGTTCCAGTTTTCCTCCACTCTTATTCAGTCTTCTGTCTTCCTATCTTTTTTGTCTCCCCTCAATTCTTACACTATTCTAAAACAGAGACATTAATGAAAATCACTTCCAAAAACATTAGAATGTACAACAGGAAAACTTTTTGTTCTCATCTGATTAAATACCAAAAATGCTAAATAATATTTATTTTGTATAATATTTGGAGCTAGAAGCAAAAACATCATAATAAACGAACATTGGATAGGTAGTTATCTCTTACTCCAT